GCTAGCCTCAGACACTTTCTAGCTATCTGATCCTGGGAAAGTCCCATTACCTCCTCAGCCTCAGTTTCCTCATCTGTAAAATGAGGATAATAATAATAGCACCTACCTCCCAGGGTGGTTGTGAGAATAAAATTATTTCATATTTGTAAAGCTATTTGAAAACATTAAAGTTTTATATATATATGAGCTGGCTATTATTTGGGTACTTTCCTCCACATTTAAGGACAAAATATCAATGTCTTGTTACCTTTTCCTTCCAAGATTTGTCTTTTCATTGATTTTGAATTCCTATGAATTCTCCATTTCATGTTTATTAAGGGAAATCCCCTAAAGTCATTAATATCACCTATAAGTAACTGCTGGTAGTAACTATGATACTAAAGATAAATATTTCATGTTGGAAGAGGTGAATGAAGTTTGTGGATAGGAAACCACATTTCCTGTGTTTATACTTACATGATGTTTTAAAAAATTATGAGTCAATATTAGGCTCATGAGAAACTTGTTCATATGAAAATACATTCATAATAATCAATTAGAAGATATCATTACATGGGACAAAAGTAAAAGTAGTTAATTCTCATTGCAAAAGGCAGTATACTCACAGGAAGTATTATTTAAAATGGATTATAAGCCTCTAAACTACAAAAATTAAGCAGCTGAAAGGAGTGGAGACACAAAAGATGGAGCTAACTTTTACCTCATATCATTAGCAAATGAATGTCTTCTTTTCAGGTATTCAAATTTCACTTTCTTTTTATTGTTCCCTGATTCATTCTCTTCCTAATCCTCTACTTCCCATGGTCCTTTTCCTTCATTTCTTTTTACATTTTTACAGATTTCTAAGGACTTTAGCCTTTCTGAAGTCATAATACGTAGTCATGAAAAATGAAATGTGGACAACTCAGGCAGCAGATAATAAATTACCATTGCTCACTCTAGATTTTTTGGGGGTATACTAAGGTATAACTTGATATGGCTTTGAATATCAGTAATTACGACTAGCAAGTATATATCAAAAGTACTCTTATTGGTTTTTTATTCTAGACAAGAATATCGCATATTCTTTGTAATAGATCAAGAATGAGCATAAGAGTATAATCCCAAATCCTTACTTTATCTATGCTGAGGACAGATGAAAAGTTATTACATATTAAAAGAGTAATCAGATATTAAAATATGTTTAGGAAAGATGATTGGTCACATCTTTAACTTCACAAAGTTCTTCATTTTATAAACAGAATGCAGGTTATGTTTCAAACAACAGTTCCCTGAATTTCAGTGTCCTTACCAAAATAACAGTGGGGCTGGCTGGCAAATAATTGGCCTTCTTTATTAAATGCTAGAGTTAGCAAATGGAACCTTAACGAAAAATCATTGTAATTTACACAATGGTAAAAATTTTAAAAAGTTTCAAGTATCCTAAAATCTTAAACGTAAGTCCTTATATCTCTAAAACAAACAAAAAAAAGAATTAATTTAATGAAAAGTTTAATGGTAAGATAGAGATGGTTGTGACCCAGATCATTCCTTGTTTTCAGCTGAAAGGATTATAGATGTAGAGCTGAAAGGGATGTTAGAGGTCACATAGTTCAAATCTGTTAATTTGTAGATATGAAAACAGAGACTCAGAGAGATCCAATAACTTGCCCAAAGTCAAACAGGTATAAGTGGCAGAAGAGTTTTAAGATTTGAGTCCATGCTCTCTGTTTCCAACTCCTGTGTTTCTACTCATGAGAGGCCAGTGTTTGGCATGTGTTTGCAGTATTGTGGGATGACCCAAATCAGTGATTCTCTGGCTCAAACCAGTAGATTAGAATGAGAAATATCAACTTTATTCTACCATAGTTTTTACAAACATAAGCTCATTAAACCCCTTTTTGTTACAGAAATCTGTCAAACTTCAGTGAGAGTATATAGCAGGGCCCATCAAGAAAACCTCTGATTCACTAAACTGAAGCTTGAAATCAAACTACACATACCATTTGATCTAGCAATACCACTATCCCAAAGAAAGTTTTTTAAAAAGGGAAAATATTTATAGCAGCTCTTTTTTTGTAGTGCCAAAGAACTGGAAATTGAGGGGGCACCCATCGATTGGGGAATGGCTAAACAAGTTGTGGTATATGATTGTAATGGAATAGTATAGTGCTATGAGAAATAACAAGCAGGTTGATTTCAGAAAAAAACAAAACAAAACATGGATGTACAGGAAGTGATGCAGAGTGAAGTGAGCAGAACCGGGAGAATGTTGTGCATAACAACAGCAATATTGTACGATGATCAAGTGTACAGTACAATGATCTAAGAGAGTTCCAAAGGACTCATGATGAAAAATACAACCCACCTCCAGAGAAAGAACAGATGGAGTCTGAATGCAGATTGAAGTACACTATTTTTCACTTTATTTTTTCATGGTATGTGTGTGTGTGTGTGTGTGTGTTCTGTCTGTGTTTCCTTTCACAACATAACTAATATGGAAATATGTTTTGCATTATTGTGCACGTATAATCTATATCAAATTGCTTCCTATCTTAGGGAGGGCGGAGGTAAAAGAGAGAAGGAGAAAATTTGGAACTCAATTTTTTAAAATGAATGTTTAAAATTGCCTCCACATGTAATTGGGAAAAACAAGATATTATTTAAAAAATGAAAAAAAAAAACCCTGAACCATGACAAGATACTTGATGTCATCAAGATACTCTCTCTACTAATGAAGATTAGAACCTCTCTATACCGTAGACTTTTTCTATGACTGAAAAAAAAAAGATCAGAAAGCTATTCACTGCCTGTTGGTTGAGGTATTGGGGATAATTCCTGGGCATATGCCTCTCTGACCATAACTGAACTGTTCCCAGGTGACACACACACAGACCCATAATCTATCTGTTCTCTCAAATTTAAACCATGTTATCATAGCAGAGAAAAATACAATAAAGAATTAACAATGCTTCCTACATAAATATAATTGTTGTAGCCAAGATCAAAAAGAGGTTAACATATGAACTGGTGGATCTAAGCAGTTTATGCACAGAAGGAAAAAAAAATCTCTTTATTGGTGCACAGTTGTTCATAAACTATCAAGTAATCAATGGATTTTCACTGTATTCTATTTTTTTGCTTAAAATATGTAGAAAATCTGTCATGATATTAAGTTTAGATATCAAACAAGTACAAATATAAGTACAAATCTAACCTTAAAACTTATATATGATTTAGTTTATTATACTTAAATTAGAAACATTTTTATAATTGAATGGGGAAAACCTTTTGTATAGGAAAGACAAGATAAAATCATGAGTCCTCACTACATAGAGCATAGTCTTTGTTATCTAAATGAAATTTTAGATTTGTTCTAAATTCCTTTTGGTTAGTCCTTGGCAAATCTTTGCCAATGGACCAGTTTTCCATCTTATCAACCACACTTCTAGAATGAATAATGATACTTACCCTATCTCCCATGGGGTAGTTGTGAAGAAAGTATTCATTTTGTGAACCTTAAAATGCTATATAAATCTAAATAAATAAATCTCCTTGAGAATGAGATTATTTTTCCTTTTTATTCTCAGGGTCTATTATAGAATTAAATTCATACAAAGTGCTTAATAAATCCTTGCTAGATTGGACTAGTTGAATGCTTCGTATTTTGTTGGCTTATAAAAATAGCTCTCCCATAATTGTCTTCACAGAGAATAGTCTAGGATATTACTGGGATTTCTTTTTTAATCTGCAACTAATAACTTTTTGTCCAACAACCTTTAAGTATGTATTTTACAATAATGTGAAGTTCTCTTTTTTAGAGATTAGAGAAATTACAGTCAAAATAAGTGTAAGGCAAAAACTTTTTTTTTCTCAGCACATCATTAGGGAAGTTGCCAATTGAAACACATTGCTGAGTAAGCTGAATAATTAGCTCAATTTATACGGTGCTTTGTGATTAATGGACACCTTTCCTTATAGCCGCCCTAGAAGGCAAGGTCATAGATTTAGAATTGGAAGGGACCTTAGGGATAACTGAGTCCAGCCCTTCCATTTTACAGATAAAGAAACTGAAACTTAGAGACCTGCAGTGACCTGCCCATGATCACATAGAAGGTAGAAGAGCTAGGATTTGAAACCAGGTCCTTTGTCTTAATATTCATTACACTTTATCTTATACCAAGATGCTTGGTATAAAATTATTTTATAAACTAGTTTAGAAATGTTTTCAGATAAGAATTGGTTATGTCCTATTGGTTATTGTATCTCTAGAGTCTAAGGCAGTAAATTGAACACACAAACATAATAGATGTTTGTAGTAGTGAGTGACTGGATTATTATCATACAAGATAAGCCTGCCATGTGTTTTGTCCTAGTGCTCAAGCCTAAAAAGCCCTTCTTTCTCCCCATCTCCCACAAAGGGAAATTGAGCAGTATGATAATGGGAGGGGGGTGGTTTTTCAATATGTTATTCAATGGTGTTCTCCAGTGAGTTGTGGAATTTTGGTGCATTGAATAAATGTCATTGGTGTGTCATTATCTTCCAAGTTCCTCATTCTTCTCTCCACAGGATTTTGGTGATAGTAATAGTAACTAGGACATGAACTCAGATCTTCTTAACTCCCAGACTGCCCTTTTTCTCTATTAAAACACTCTTCCCCTTTGAATGGATTTAAGATGGGCAAAATTTAGTCAAACTGATCAGTTACTGTCAAACAGAGTGCCATTGGACTTGTATAATTATAAACAGTCAACCACCATCTGATCTCAATCCCATTACTTTCACTGGAATGACATTTTTTTTTTCTGCCTAGCCATGCTTTACATTTCCAAGTGCTCAGGGTCCCAGGATCAATGAACAGTAAAATACTTTCTCTAAAGACAGTGAGGGAGAGTTACTAGAGCTTTCAATCTAATTCCTAACCAGCTATTTGAAAGCTTATTAGATCTTTTATTTTTTTTTTCTTTTTGACCAGAAAAGAAGATCCAGGACATACAAAGAGCATAGATTGCCAACTCACCTGATTCTACCCCTGGGGCGCTCAGATTGCTCTGACATAAAGCTTGTGCTGCTGAGGCGTGAGGCACTGCTGGTTCGGGAAATGGCTGACACATCACTGACATCACTATCTGATGATTTGGCAGAGACGTTATCACAGCTTCTGTATTGATCTTTATGTATGTTATACTAAAGATTAAAAATAAGAAAGTGTGAGCACCATTATCACACCTCAGGGCAAACACAGATCTACAAGGTGATGAGTTAGCCAAACCTCAACACACTTTTGGAAAGACAAATTGGGAAAAGTTCTTTAAACAATCTAGAGTTAGGTCAACAAGCATTGGAGAATAGCAGTCTCCAAATAGTAATACTATTGCAAAAGGCTGCTTCATAAGGATCTTAGAACTGTTTACAAGTGAATATTCAATAAGGACCTGTCAAGACTGAATTAAAAGGTAGGCATTCAGAAATAGGCTGCTTAGATAGAAAATTCGCAGTATCAGACCTAAATAATTCACAAACACGCTGAAAGGCAGTGCGGTATAGGGGATAGAAAGATCCAGCCTTATAATTAGGAAGAAATGGTCTCATGTTCTGTCTCTGACACCTGTTAGCTGAATGACCATGGGTGTCACCTATTTCTCAATGACCCCAAACAACTCTTTAAGCCTTTAAATTACTTACCTGGCTCTAATATGCATCCGTAGAAGGAGTTTCCCTTACTGAAGAAACTATAGATCCTATACCCCTTCCTAACCACTCCAACATCCTCCCCCCAAAAAATCCCTTGTACTCTAACAACGGCAAAATGTTTTTCTCATCTATGATTTACAGTGCTGACAACATTTCAAAGGCTTTTTTCAGTGTTTTTAATGCTCAGACCTAAGACATCTCCTAAACCTACTCTCGTGTTACTTTTTCTCACTACCTGATTTTTTCCTGGTTTTCTGCCCTTAACTATTTCTCTATTATTCTCTAATGTTTTCAAAGGCTATATGTTAATTACCATTGACTTAGAGGTTCAGGGGCATTACAAATCACCTAATCTAGGGGCTTTTCACCTTTATTTTTTGTCATGGACCCCTCTGGCAGTCTGGTTAAGCCTATGAACCCAACACCTTTAAATGTATAAAATAGAAATGATTACAAGCCAATTACACTCAAATACACTTACTAATATAAAGATTTTTTTTAAAGTTCACAGTTCCTACGTTAAGAATTTGTGATTTTGTCCAATTTTCTCATTTTTCAGATGAGGAAATTGAAGCTCAGAGAGGGTTATAAGACTAACTCAAGGTCACACAGATAGTAAAGGCAGAGCCTAATGCAAATTCATATTCTTTGACTCCAAATCCACAACTCTTTTCAGTGAACAAATTGGGGTACTTCCTACAAAGATGCAGATTGTGGCATCTCCACAATGTAGTAGACTGAATTGGGAGCTGATGTGTCCAAAAATAAAACAATAAATCTCAACTCTTAATGGCGAAAGAACCGGTGAGGGGTCTCTCCAAATTCATTTAGACTTGTCTTCAGCCAGTTTACAAAATCACCTGGTCTAGATATAGATCTTCAAAGCTTTTGGATCTTGTACCAAAGGTTGCCTTCTGCTGTTCAGAGAGGTTTATCTTCAGAAGACTGGCCATCATGTTTTTTAAGTTATGGCAACTTTTTAAACATGGAACAAGATAATAGTAATCTGTACTATTAGATATATCATACATGCTAATGATGATGTGTGCTAGCAAGGGCATCACCTACTTTCTTTGTAATACATTCTTTGAAAGTATTTTTAGCCCCCAGCATTTCTGAAACAGCTCTCCTGCAAACCATCACCCACCCTTCTTTCTATTCTCTTAAAAATATTCCCCTGTACAATAAATACTGACTTTGAACAATCTGGTTTGTTGTTATTTAGTCATTTTTCAGTTGTGGATTGACTCTATGACCCTTTTTGGATATTTCTTGGCAAAGATATTGGAGTGGCTTGTCATCATTACATTTTAATTAAACCTACATTTTCAGGTGCGACCCATAAGCCTTATAATTTTGGAAAACAAAATGTGGTATATATTCTACATAGCATGACATGAATGTATGCACATTTTAAATATTTGCACATATTTCACTTGTATTGACATCATCAAAACTTGTAAAATAGCTTAAGCAGAAAATAAATCTGCATTACAAAGAAAACCTTCAAATATGTCTTCCTTCTCCTTTTCATTTTCTTTATCAATAAAATACTACTTATACTTTATTCCTAATTTTTGGAACCTTACCTCTTAGGGCACCACATATTCACTTACCTAAAACCCAACAACTTTCATGCACCCATGTACTTGGGTAATTAGCTTTATCTTCTAGAAGTTTACTTATTTTTATATTTTAAGTATGAAATTTTCAGCTTTAAGTGAGAGGCAGGATGGCATAGTGGAAAGACAGCTAGGCTCAGAGTCAAGAAAAGCTGGGTCCAAGATTTTCCCATGATCTGCCAACTGTCTGACCCTGAGTAAGTCACCAAACTTCTAAATATCCCAGGTAACTCTTTAAGGATGCAGAAAAGGCATCTGCTGGCATGGGTAAAGGGAGCTCCTCATCAGAATCTCCTAACACTGATGATATCACAAGTCTTATTAAAAAAAAAACACAAGAGTATAAATTTGATAGTGTTTGAAAAATATATCCAGTATGGTCCAAAAGTATGATTTTAGGGGCAGCTAGGTGGCACAGTGGGTAGAGCACTGGCCCTGGAGTCAGGAGGACCTGAGTTCAAATCTAGTCTTAGACACTTAACACTTACTAGCTATGTGACCCTGGGCAAGTCACTTAATCCCAATTGCCTCACCAAAAAAAAAAAGTGTGGTTTTAAAATTTAACATCCATGCTGTTACCAAGAATGATTGATTCCATTCAAAGGCATATTAATCAACTCAATGCTTTAGAAAATGTTTTAAAATCTTGCAAAGACTCTTTTGCTATTGTAAAACAATTAAACCACAGATGTTTGAGCCTGTGGTTATACATGCATAATAAAATAATTGAAGTAAAAAATGTACTTTTGATTCAGGTATCTGCATATTTTAGGTGGAACATTTAAGTCTAATTTTTTTCCAATTGGCATAATTCTTTACCTCATTTTTTAAATGTGTACATAGAAAGAAAGGATACATATACAGAAACTAAATGTAAGAGAGATAGCAGTCCAAATGTCATATCACATGTCTGATGGATGAATTGTTTATAAAAAATATATGTTGGATCAAAAGTTGGAAAATTTTATGATTTCCAGTCTAAAGAAGAACAAGCATTATGGGTGTAGATCATAAGTTTTCTTTTTCGAAAGCATATCATTTGCTGCTATCCTTCCTCTATAGTAGGGTTCTCAATAACATCAATAGTAACAACAGCTACTATATATATATACATACACACACACACGCACACATATACATATATGTGTATATATACTCATATATGTATATATATATACATATAAAAGTATATATGTGTGTATACACACACACACATATGTCTCATTTTGTTCTCAAAATATTCCTGGGAGATGTCCCCATTTTACAGATGGGAAAACTGTGGCTGATATTTTAAGTGATTTGTCCAGGGACACACAGATAGTGAATATCTGAGGCCAGATTTGAGCTCAGATCTTCCTGACTCTGAGTCCATTGCTATATCTACTCCCTCCCCCACTCCCAGTTGTCTCTAGAGATTATTGTACATGACACAACCAAAATTCATCCCTAGCTATTGAGGAACCAGAATGATGCCTACCATACAGGCCTTCATGCTGGAAGGATGCCATATAGACACACTTTTGTATGCAAGCAAAGAATTTACTTGAGCTTAAGGAAAGCCAAATACCTGCCTGGAATGGAGAGCTGCCCTATGATAATTTTCTCTTGTAGTTTCAAATTAATTATTATCTTTTAAATGCTATGTGTTATCTGTATGTTTCCCCACCACCTTATTTTTCTAAAACTAAAACACACACACAAAAAAATGGGCAGATAAAACACAAAAGAATATTTTTTTCCTTGAAAAACAGAGCTCAAATACTGTCCCTCCCAAAAAAGTCTCTCTGTTGTTGGTCGGTTGTGAGTTGGATGTATTTTGTCAGTTCAAATTTAAGTGCTATCCAGGGATGAGGCAATGTGTTCACTTACCAATATGTATGTCACTGATGTATCCTGTGTGGTTTATGCAGGCAAAAGGGAACCTGCAGCCTCGAGGCCACATGTGGCCTTGAGGACCTAGAGGGCCACATGCAGGTTCCCCACCTCTGCCCTAGGACATCTACCTATAAGAGATACTATGGCTTCTAGCAATGCCTCATTCAGATACACCTTACTAATATTGATAACTCTAGTATGAATCCATATAGCCTTTGTAACTCAAAAGACAGTACAATGAGGTATCTGGTAGTGAATGAGAAAAATTCTTTGAATAAAAGAGATTATAGGACTATAAGAAATCCTCAAGCTTCCAATATTCCCAGATAAGCCTACAATATCCTGGAAAATGGATGTTAAGTAACCTCTTACTCATGTTTATCATTGCAATTATGTAATTTTGGGATACTGATTATTCATATCATGCCTAGAAGGCTGGTTAGTTAGGAGGTTAGTTTAAATCCTGCCTCACACACATACTAGCTATGTGGCCTTGGGGAAGCCACTTAGCACATTAATGTTCTTAGACTGTTCTCTTAGTCACAGAATTGCTAATATGCATCTGTAGAGGGAGTTTTCCTCCCAGGGAGTTCCCTATGCTGATGAACTCAAAGGTCTGGTTAAAAAAATCAACGAAAAAGAAATTAAATAACACTACTTCAGTCTTTCATCATCCACATATCTCTTCTTCACTGGTAATTTGAAAAAAAAAAGGACAAAAATATTCTAATGTGAAATATCTTATGATTGGCTCTACTTTAGTTTTATTAACTTCTGTTATGTATGTTCATTAAATGAAATACATGAAACTATCATCTATCACCAGCGTGTTTCATTATTTTCCTTTTCTCTAAGACATAGAAAGTTCCATATACATTTATTTTGCTTGGGGGAATTTTTATTTAAGAGAACTATATATTGCTTACTTCAGAGGCCTAAGAGTTCACAGGGTATCAGATGTGTTTGAATTCTAATATATTTAAGTGCATAAGTTTT